AAATGTGTATATTAACGTAATATACGACATTTAATGAGACTCGGTGATTATTATTATTATTATTATTATTATTATTTCTAATATGGCATCATTTGTGCAAGTCGTCTGCTACCACATCTCATATTTATGTTTATTTATTCTACTGTGGGGTGTATTTATCATCTTTATATGTTATGTATCGTGTTTATTATATAATTTTGAAAAAAGTATCATGGATGGATTAATGAAAATGTGTATATTAACGTAATATACGACATTTAAATGAGACTCGGTGATTATTATCATTACTAATATGACGTCTGGAGACATAAAACACTCTTACTGATTTTAATGTGTACCTGCATGCCAGCACAGTATGTAAGTTTATTTAAGTACAGGTATACATAAGTATAATTATCAGAGTATATATAAAATATGAAGTAACTTTTAAAAACACTTAAAATTTTGGAGTTTCCAGACATAATGGAGAGACTTAGTGCTTACGGATCTCAGAGAATGTAAACAAACCGGGTGGGGCGCGGTGACCGTATTAGAAAGTCAGGTGGGGGAGCCGTATAGCGAGTTTTGGTCATAATTTGAAATGACCGTATTAGTGAAACGCTGTAAAGTGAAACGCCGTAAAGTGGGGCCCTACTGTATATTTGTTTTTGAAAATTTATTTATAGTTTTATATAGTTAGTAAGTACAGTAAATTGTAGTTACCTTGTTTACAAATGATCTTTGCTTGTCTTAGTGCTAAAATGAATTTGAATCTTGACCTTATTTTGTGTACTTGTAGTAAATTGTTGTTTGGTAAATTTAATTACGTACTTCCACTTAATATATAGGAAAATAACATAGTACAGTAATTTATTATACAGTAATGGAAGAAGTCCCTCAAGTATCCAGCTCCTCTCAGAATATGCTCCACCTATTTTTAAGTCACACACTGTTCATATTACTGACTGTGGCTAGACAAATGCTGTTTGTATGTATCCTATACCATAAAATTACTGGAATGCACAAGGGAAGGTTCAGACTAACTTTCTTTTGCTTAGTTATCTTTCTTAACACTTTGTCAGATTTAGAGAGAAATGTTTGTAATAATAGCTTGACATTCCTTTTCATAATATTGAAATTAAAAACATTTATGAGAGATACACTAACCTTTCTCTGCTGTTGTTGCAGCCCATCACAACTTTACTTTTATTAAAATTAACTTTTTTTGTATTTTGGTGTTGAAATGCAGCCATATTTTTATCTCCAGTGCATAGTGTGTGTCTGCTGTTGAAGTCCAACATGTAAAATCATTTGTTCCCTTGCCCCTCAGGAGTATCTAATGATATTAATCATAACCATAATTTTTAAAGTGGGGGGGGGGGGACAAGTAAGCAAGCAGAATGCTTCAGTCAGATGACCAAAATCTCCAACCGTGAGTCATGTGACTAAGACCAGACTCAGGTTACAGTTGTTTTGTTTCCTGATAAATGTTATCTAACCTAACCTTGCTCCCCAGTGTAGTATTTGTCACACAGTGCATGAATCTTGTAAGTTGAAGAATGAGAAACTTGTGGAACATGTGGGATTCTTTATTGAAAAAATGTTTTGCCCTACAGTGGCTTCATCAGTCCAGCACAAAGAAGAAAAGTGTAAAGAAAAGAGGAGTTTGAGGTAATCAATCCCTCAGCCTGGAATCGATGTGGTCAGTCCATCAGTCTTGAAGAAAGTACAGCATATGGCCAGAGTAGTGGCTTATATAAGCAACTTCTCTGAAGTAGCTTATATAAATGTGTAAGCCACTAGGTTATATAAGCCACTTCTCTGACCATATTCTGTAATTTCTTCAAAACTGATGGGCTGAACACATTTGATTATGGTGCCCCGTGGCCTTGTGGCTAAAGCTCTCGCTTCACATGGCGAGGGTCCGGGCTCAATTCCCGGTGAGGGTAGAAAAATTGGGCGTGTTTCTTTACATCAGTTGTCTATGTTCCCCATTAGTAAAACCAGTACCTGGGAGTTGCACCTACTACCCGACTTACGACCTGCTCGACATACAACCATTCGACTTACGACCTTGTTTTCCATGGCAAATTTCTGGGAAATAAACAACTGTTTGTGTTGTACACAGTGTTTATCCTAAACCTTACAGTATAAAACACAGTACTAACAGCATAAAAAGTAAAGTAAAAAAATGAAATACCAAAATAAAACAATAAAATAGTCATTACAAAAATGTGATGTTGATATTCAGCAGTAAGGTTCGACTTGCGTCCATTTTGACTTATGACCGATTTCTCGGAACCGAAGTCAGTTGTAAGTCGGATGGTACCTGTAATTGACTGGTGTAGGTCACATCCCGGTACAAAACTGACCTTATTTGCTTGAAATGCTCTGCATAACAAGCTGCTTTCTGTGAAGTAGTATTTTATTTATTTATTATTAATTTGGACATGATACATAGAAATAGTGGGTAAGTGTAACATGCCAAAAGCCCCTTGTATATAGAGCATTATGGGCAGGCTTAAAATTAACTTAAGATTAACTAAGCAATGATATATTCAGTGGTAAACATTATTGTAAACAAATAACAATTAAGTACAAATAAGTATTTCAAAGACAGGTCATATGGTCATATACTGAGTTACTGTGCATTCAGTAGAATGGAGTATTCTGTTAGGTAATGTAATTAAAAATAACAAAGTTTGATAGGGTCACAGGTTAAGACATAGTATATGTCATTGATGTCAACTAGGTCTGTATACCTTGTACATGTACTTGTAGAAATAGATATTATTTATTATTTCCAGGCTGAGGGACTGATTACCTGAAACTCCTCTTCCCTTTACACCATTCTTCTTTGTATTGGACTGATGAAGCCACTGTGTGGCAAAGCATTTCTTCGATAAAGATTCACATATGTTCCATAAGTGTCTGTCTTCAACTTGTAAAATTTCTAAACCATTTTTCACAGTCTTGTAATAATATGTATATGTACTTGAGTTTTTTTGAAAACCACTGTACAAATGCCTTGATGGTATTCTAACTGCTGAATGTGATGTTTATATCATTATGAGAGGGAACTCTACAGATTTAAGTTCATCCACGTAAGGAAGAACAATTTATGCTTTCTTTTTCTTATCCACCCGAAAAGTTACCCCTGACTGAGAAATGACCAGTCTGTAAAAATTTTAGTGAAGCCTAACTTAGAAAATGTTCTGTAGATATACTCAAGGTCATATTCTAAACTGTGAATCACATGCAGGTTATGCCCTAAGAAACAAGCCTGAATGACACCACCTCTCTTTGTGGAGAATGAGAAGAAAAGGTGTGCAAAATATATTGGTTTTCTGTGTAATTTAAAACTACGAGTATTTCTATGATATCTGCATACTAAGATATCCAAAAATAATATTTGGCAGTTTTCTTCACCTTTAAGCTTAGTATTTCTGCTTATTGAATTGAAACACCTAAGGACAAACTGCTATAAAAGCAGAGGCTATAAAAGCAGAGCCTTGGCCGTGGTAGGCCCAGTAGACGAGTGTAGGTTTATTGTGAACTGAAGTGGTCATTCATATTGTAAGTGTCCTTTTCACTAGTAGTATATTAATGGACAGCAAATACATCATTAACATATAGCCAAGTGAGGTCACAGTCAACTACTCAGTTAACTATAGTGGTAAAAACTTTACTATCAAAGATTTCCATAAAACTGTTATCCAGCAAAGGCATCAAAGGTAAACCCTTTTGCATCCCATACACTTGGCTGTTAAAAGTCCTCCTTCATAAGAGAAATGCATCTAGGAAATGCAATTTAATGAGACAAAAGATTTTCTTGTATGGTACAGGGGAATTCTAATTCGTTAGCAAATTTGCTTCTCAAAAACACAAGTTGTATCATTGATAGTGATTCAGGTGAACAAACTGTTGATGTCAGAATTAACCATTAGTTTGTTTTCTAGGTTAACATTTCTTATTTTAATAATAAAGTCTTCCGAGTTTTATTAAATGTGAATGCAGAAAAGTACTTCAACATGGGGAAAGCAAGGATGCTAGGAACAAGGAAAGGTCATTTAATACACACACAGTCTAGTAAAAATTATAGGTCTTTATGTAATGCTGTTATGTCTTCGAAACCTATTCATACATAAAGGGAAGTTTAGCACAATAGTGTACATTGCATTCTTAAAAGATTAAAACAAAGTTTAGCATATGTTTGATCATCTGATAGTAAATCAGTGATTTTGATTTGGTAATCAGTACAGTTCAAAATAACCACATTGTTCCTGTATTTCTCTTATTAGTTTAAAAAATAATTGACATTATCATTACTTAAAGCAATAAAGGAATAATGTGGTTTTTTTAACTACTGTGTACTGATTACCCAAACAAAATCAGTGATTTGTTATCAGTTAATCAAATGTATGTTAAGCCTCATTATTTCTGTTCTCTGAATGTGGGTTACTCCATTTTATATGCTGTATATGATGTACATCATTGAAGTTTAAATTGCTTGAGTGTTGCACAAGATTCCTGGCGTATTAGTTGGGAGGGTGTGGCCTGTGACCCTCTGGCAGGTTCAACCATGGTGGTAAGGTCAAGAGAGGAGGCACTCACGGCAAACTGCACCACGCATTCTGCTAGGCTTCTTGCAACTGATAGTGATGAAGGTGGTTGTTCATGTGATGAAGACAGCATTCTTTCAGCTTGATACAAATTGAACCTTGTTGCAGGCATCTTGTTTATCAGTTTAGGTTCTAGAAACACCACTGACTTCATAAGATAATCATCCTCTGGGCTGTATTATGCTCTGGCATAAAAATAACTAATGAAATACAGTAATTTTTACTCTATATTATTTTGTACAACATGGAATTTTGATGTGAAAAGTAAACAGTTAATGCTTTCAAAGCAACACTAATCAAATTTTCTAAATGGCAGTTTTTTTGAACTTAAGGAAAGAGTTGATGAGTCAGGTATGCTCAATTAGACATCCTCATGTTCATTATAGTATTACTTTACAGTATGATGGAGTGCCAATTCTGGCCTCAACTGTCAAGTGTAAGATTTGTTCCCAGGAGTTTGCAAAGCAGTGGAGGTGAAGACAGTCCACTGGAAGATAAGATCAACCGCAAGACACTCTTTTACCTGATATCCACCCTCAATGCAGCCTTCTACCCAGACTATGATTTCAGTAATGCTTCATCTCAAGAATTTTCTCGGGAACCTTCTTTGGAGGTAAGTGATGTTGAATATCATGTAATGAATGAATAATCTTTCATTACTACACTGGCATAAAGTAATTAACAAACCCAAAAGTTTCAGGAATAACAAAAGGTACCATTTGGTTCTGTGTTGTGTGTTAAAACTGAAGATGGTATCATATTTGGTTTGAATTAAGGAAGAGTTGAGGTAGTGTGTTAGATCATACTGAAGGATGATTTGAATAGACTGATGCCATGGCTGGTGTGTGTGTGGGGAAGTACCCTGGCTCGTGTGTTCTTTCTTGAATTTTATCATGTTTCTCACCTTCTTTACCAAAGGGCTGGCACTAGGAGCTTTCTTTGGCCCATGGTGGCTTATTTAGCAGTTGCAAGCACAAATAACAATGGATTATTACAAAATGTGTCGTATGAATGCATGGAGTGATGGTCACTGACCAATAAACTGGGAATGGTGTGTGGGGCGCCTTTGTGTGACGTAGACATTGGGAGACCACTCGTACACGTTTTGGACAAGCAACGAATGGCGAGGCAAATTACGAACCGCGAGGCTGTTTTGATGAAAAAAGTTGTCGAAAGTTAAAATTTACAAAGCTGTATTCCATTCCTTTTTGTGCTTGCAACTGCTAAATAAGCCACCATGGGCCCAAAGAAAGCTTCTAGTGCCAGTCCTTTGGTAAAGAATGTGAGAAACACAATAGAATTCAAGAAAGAAAGAAACTGCAAAATATGAAAGTGGCGTGCGTGTGGCCCATCTTGCCAGGATGTATGGGAAGCCTCATACAATCATCGCTTCCATTGTGGTGAAGAAAAAGGAAATCAAGGAAGCTGTTGTTGTGAAAGGGGTAGATATGCTTACAAAAAAGAGATTGCAAATACTCGAAGATGTTCAGAATTTGTTGTTGGTGTGGATCAACCAAAATCAGTTAGCAGGAGATAGTGTTATGCAGTCAATAATTTGTGGAAAGGCAAAACAGTTGCATGCTGATCTCGTAAAGAAAATGCCTGGATCGAATGCTGATGTTAGTGAATTTAAGGCCAGCAAAGGCTGGTTTGAGAGACTCAAGAAGCAAAGTGGCATACACAGTGTGGTAAGGCATTGTGAGGCTGCAAGTTCTGACAAATGTGCGGCTGAAAAATTCGTGCAGGAATTCAAGGACTATGTAGAGGCTGAAGGGTTCATCCCCCCAACAAGTGTTCGGTTGTGACGAAACAGGCCTCTTTTGGAAGAAAATGCCAGAGAGGACTTGCATCACACAGGAGGAAATGGCACTGCCAGGACACAAGCCTATGAAAGACAGGCTAACTCTCATGTTCTGTGGTAATTCTAGTAGGGATTTCAAAGTGAAGCCTTTACTGGTGTATCACTCTGAAAATCCCAGAGTGTTCAAGAAAAAGTGTCGCCAAGAGTAAATTGTGTGTGATGTGAAAAGCTAACAGTAAGGCATGGGTTGCAAGGGAAATTTTCCTTGATTGGTTCAGTGATGTGTTTGGCTGAAGTGTGAAGAAATACCTCCTGGAAAATAAACTGCCACTCAAGTGCCTCCTGGTAAAAGACAATGCTCTTGCTCATCCTCCAGACTTGGATGACCAAATGGTGGAGGAGTTTAGTTTCATCACAGTGAAGTTCTTTCCCCCTAATACCACTCCTCTCATCCAGCCGATGGACCAGCAGATCATTTCAAACTTCAAAAAACTCTACACGAAAGCCATGTTTCAAAGGTGCTTTGATGTGACACACTCAATTGACCCTAAGAGAGTTTACTTCAGTATCTTCCATTGCATAACCCTTATAGATAAGGCTTGGCAGGGAGTGACTTTCAGGACTTTGAACTCTTCTTGGAGAAAATTGTGGCCAGATTGTGTCCTCAAGAAAGATTTTGGAGGGTTTGAGGCTGACCCTGACAACCCTATGCCAGTTGTGGAATCTATTGTGGCATTGGGGAATTCCATGGGGTTGGGTGTGACTGGCTAGGATGTAGAAGAGTTGGTGGAGTACCACAATAAAGAGCTAACTGAAGAGGTGCAAGACCTTCATCTGCAACAGCAACAGACCACAACTCAGGAAATTGAGTCATCAGAGGAGGAGGAAGAGAGAGATGGAAGAAGGTGCCTTCTTCAAGGATTAACCCTTTGAGGGTTTTGGTCGTACTAGTACGTCTTATGCGTAGGGGTTTTTGACGTACTAGTACGCATAAATTCTAGCGGCCTCAAATCTCGCGCGAAAAGGCTGGTAGGCCTAGGTGTGAGAGAATGGGTCTGCGTGGTCGGTGTGCACGGTAGAAAAAAAATCTGGGACCCAGTGGTGCATTGTGGGAATGCCCTCTTAGTAAACAATGTCCACCATGCCTCACGGTAAGAAGCTCCTCACTCCTCGGCGAATTGGGACACTTTTGTTCCCCAGTGACAGTTCTAATAGTGATGGAAGTGCCAGTGAAGATGAGTTTCATGGTTTTAGTAAGGTTTTGACTGAAACTAATGACCATAATATCGGTAATAGTGAAGAAAACCCAGACGACCCTCAGCCTTCCACCTCTGGTGCTGGGCCCTCGTGTTCACGTTCAGTTGTTCCAGAACCCAAGAGGAAACTTCTATTTTCCCAAATCCCAGACTCGGATGAGAGCATGGGTGATGATAGTGATAGTGAATATGAACTACAAGCTCTTCAAACTAGTTCCAGTAGTGATAGTGAAGTGCAATATTCCCCAGTGAAGCGTCAGTATATACGACGATATATGCGCTCTGGTAGTGTGCCATATGTTATACCAAGGGGAAGGAGTGTATCTCGGAGTACATCCCGTGGCTGTACAACAGGAACAGACAGTGAAAATGACGAAGATACTGTTGCAATTGGGATGGAAAATGTGCGTGGTGGTAGTGGTGCCGGCGGTGAGGCACCAGCAGTGGGCCATGCTGCCACCCACGCCGCTGCCTCAGCTGATCTAGAACAAAGGCCACCATCCCCCACTCACCCACCACACCAGCCTCCACAACCACAACCACAACCTCCACAACCACAACCACCTGTCATTGTCAGTACCCACCAGCAGACCGCACCTGGGATTGGCAGGAAGCTGTCAATTTTGTTCCAAATCCCCACCAGTTTGATGACAGCCAAAGTGGAATACGGCCATCTTGTGCACTTGGGAACAATGCCACTGAACTGGAATGTTTCGAGTTATTCTTTGACGAACCACTGATGAAAAGTATTGTCATGGAAAGCAACACATACTACGAGTACACCATGGCAAACACATTACTTTCACCAAAATCACGTCTACACCAGTGGAAGGAGGCAACTGTGGCTGAGATGTATCTTTTCTTTGCCACAATAATGCTTATGCCACATGTGTATAAGCACAAAGTGAAATCATACTGGTCAACAGACCCCCTGATTGCAACACCAGGTTTCAGTGATATAATGCCAGTGAATCAATTTGTGCTAATGTTACGTATGCTTCACTTCTCAGATAAAACCAGGCCTGACAGAACTGACAGGTTATATAAGATTAGGAATGTGTTTGTGTATCTGAAACAGAAATTCAGTACGCATTTTTATCCCTTCAGGAAGCTTGTAATTGACGAGTCTTTGATTCTGTTCAAAGGAAGACTCTCTTTCAAGCAGTACGTACCAAGCAAGAGGAAACGCTTTGGTATAAAGTTGTTTGTGCTTTGTGATTGTTACAGTGGTCTGGTATTGGATATTATTGTGTACACTGGAAGTTATACATTGCAAAATACAGGAAGTTATTGGGCATCTCAGGTGATGTGGTTCGAACAATGATAGAACCATACCTTGGTAAGGGGCATATATTATATGCAGATAACTGGTACACAAGCCCCTCACTCAGTGATTTTTTGCGAGTGAACATGACAGATGTGTGTGGCACAGTGCATGCAAATCGAAAACATATGCCCAGGTTTGACGCTGGCACTCGTAGAGGTGAGGTGCAGGCATTTGCTGCCAATGACATCATGGCATTTCGGTGGCATGACAAACGAGATGTCACACTGTTGTCATCAATTCACCCTAATGAAATGGCAGACAGTGGCAGGCAGCATAGAGAGAGAAATGAACCCATTCTAAAACCTGCAGCTGTGATTGATTACACCTTCAACATGCGTTCAGTGGACAAATTGCTGATTGTGTTCACAAGAGTTATAAGTGGTACATCAAACTGTTTTTCCATCTTCTGGACATTTCCATGCTCAATGCTTATAATATGTATAAGATGAGCACCAGAAACAAACCACAGTACGGCGAATTCTGTTTCTGTCATCAGACAAATAGTATTCAAGTACCAAGGAACAGCACCTGCAATTGACCGCCCACCAAATTATCAACAACTACTTGCTCGTCTGAAGCATGGTGATCACTTCCTGGTAAAACTGCCTGCTACTGCTTTGAAGAAAAAGGCTCAGAAGAGGTGTTACGTCTGTGCACATACAAAAAAACGCACTCAACAACGCAGAGACACTCGTTTTATGTGTGAGGAGTGCAAACCTCCACTGTGCATGACACCATGTTTCAAAGAGTTCCACAGGCTTCAGAACTTCTAGAAACATTCCCTGTGACTGTATATGTGTATATAAAATATAGAAAAAATAGTAATAAACAACATTTCATATCGTTTGTTTGTGTAAATATTTTCTGTAAACAAAATAATGACAATAGTGTTTACGCCCTTATTGTGTAGTATTGAAAAAGAAATAACTTACAAAATACTGATCATGTTGGCCTCAGAGGCCATAAAAGTTACTCAGAAAAAGAAAAATTGAAAAATAATTGAAAATAGTACATAAAAAAGTAAATAGAAAAATACCGGGTGACGGCAGTCGGCGATGTTACCATATGTTGTTCAATTTTGGCAAATTTCACGCCTCCATATCTCGGTAAGTATTGACGTTAAAATTTTTTTGTTTAGCCTATAATGTTTAGAAAAAAAAACTATTTTTTCATAAGAAAAAATAATTTTTTTTTTTTTTTTAAATTTGGCCGACCCTGAGAACGAGTTTCGGAGAGGGCCTGTCGACCCTCAAAGGGTTAAGGACATTTGTGCAAAGTGGAGTGAGGTGCAAATGTTTGTGGAGGAACATCACCCTGACAAAGCTGTTGCAAGCCGTGTTGGCAACATGTACAATGACAATGTCTTGTCCCATTTTAGGCAAATTTTAAAGAGAAGCCTGAAACAAAGCTCTCTAGAACAATTATTTGAGTGACAGGGGTCCAGTGACTCTCAAGCTGGTCCTAGTGGCATTAAAAAACAAAGAAGGGAAGTAACCCCAGATAAGGACTTGGTACCTTAAGTCTCTTTGGAAAGGGATTCCCCTTCCAAACAATTGTGTAACTTCTCCATCCTCTCCCCTCCTCCTGTCTTCATACACCAACAAGAGTCTCCAATGAAGGTAAGTGTGATGTTATTATTGTTTTATACTAGATGTCTCATTGTTTTCTCTATGTAAATCTATATTTAATGTAAAAAAAATATTTTTTGTTAATACTTTTGGGTGTTTGGAACGGATTAATTGGATTTACATTATTTCTTATGGGGAAAATGGTTTTGCCATTCGTAAATTTTGCCTTTCATCAAACTCTCTGGAATGGATTAATTACGAAATTTGAAACCCACTTTGTTGTTTCATGGAAAGAAATTTGTTAGCTATTGCATTCTTGTTATTTAGTAATTATCTGTTTGTCATTGTTTGTTTGTAGTTTGCATGAGCAGAGCTAAGCCTGTGGTGTCCTATCTTTAGTTTGTAATCTATAGTATTGTATTATAATTCTTTTTAATTATCATTGGTTTAACCCCTCTTGTGTCAGTGCCGTAATATTATGGCTTTGAAGCCAGTGTTGGTCCCATGATACTACGCCAAAATTCTAGTGACTTCAGATCTTGCGGGAGAAAGCTGGTAGGCCTACATATGAGAGAGTGGGTCTGTGTGGTCAGTGTGCACAGCATAAAAAACATCCTGCAGCAAGCATTGCAAAATGAGAAAAAACTACGACTGTTTTTGGTTTAAAACAACTTTGCAGTGTATTTTCATACGGTATTTATGGTTGTATTCTCTTTCTTTTTTTTATCTCATTAATAGAATGGAAGATATATTACAGAAATAGAGGTAATTTTAAATGGTTTACCAACTAAAAGTAGCTTGAAGTTGAACTCAAAGTAGCAGAAATGTTTGATTTTTGACTATGTTCAAGAGTGAACAGCTCACGTCTCGCATCCAATGCACGTCAACTGGTGGGTCTAATGTGCATTCACAAATGTGCTGATATTATTTATACAATTATTACAATTATGCAATAGTCTGAATAACAGTAAATCATCTACTTTTTGTGTGAATAAAAATTCAAAATGAAAAGCAAGCATAATATAAGAGGGGCCTGGAGACGTGACTAATAAACAGAACAAATGTTATTTTAGTGCCAAGAATGTCTGCATTGTTCATTCTGGACACTATTTTGAAATTGGCCTGTTTTGAATTTTGTGTGATATTGGCCAAATTTGTAATTTCTGATCACCTTTTTTTTGTGTAGTTGAAATAGGAAAATGGGCAGTTTCTTGTACTCAGTTGATAGAATAAAGTAAAAGTATAGTTTATTTCTTTGTAAAGGTTACAATGTGTAATTGCAATTTTTGACTTGCTAAGTACAAAGATAGTTACTAACATGCCAAGGCATTTTGGGCAGACTAACCCTATGCATAGTAACTAATTAAAACTAGATAAGATAATGGTACATAGTAACTATACTTAAAACTAGACAAGTAGTAGTGGTTAACTGTTTTACAGTCTTATTTAAACTTAATGCAAATGTGAGGTAGTAAGGTAGAATAGGGTTCGGTAAAATAATCTTGAAATTGCACACAAAATCTACCTTTCAAGTAATGGTACAGGTGGTAATATTTTATGGATTGGCAGAATTAAAAGCCTGGAGGTCACATAGTGTAAAGTAAAAGGACACAAGCGCAACTAATGTGACATTTTTATTGTGGCAACGTTTCGCTCTCCAGGAACTCTGTCAAGCTCCTGGAGAGTGAAACTGCCACAAAAATGTCACATTAGTTGCACTTGTGTCCTTTTACTTTACATATTGTCGGTAATTCTACCAGCAATATTACAGGTTATATAATAAAACTAGTTAGCAGGTGTTTTGGTTGATTTGGTTAATATTGAGAGATAAGATGATTTTTTAGCAAAGTCCTAAATTAAGTTGTCAGGGGATCCTTGACCTGTTCCGGTAGCGAGTTCCAGATCTTTGGGCCCATTATGTGCATAGTGTTCTTGCATAGTGAGAGACTGACTTGAGAGATGTTGAAAAGTGCCTTATGCCTTGTATTGTGACTGTGCATTCTGTTGTAACTGTCAAGGAGTAGTTTTAGGGGAGGGTTTACAATGGAGTTTAATGTTCTGTATATGTAGTAGACACAATAATATGAGTGTATGTCTTGTATATTTAGCAAGTTGAGTCTTTTGAAAAGTGGTGGGGTGTGCTGTCTAGCACAGGAGCTGGTTATCACCCGCACAGCAGCTTTTTCTTGGATTATTAAGGGTCTAAAGTGGTTGGCTGTGGTTGAGCCCCAGACACAGATACCATAGGTGAGGTAAGGATATATTAGAGAGTGGTACAAGGTAAGGAGAGTTGTTTGTGGTACATAGTAGCGTATCTTGGAAAGGATTCCTCCTGATTTGGAAATTTTCTTGGCTGTGTGATGGGTATGGGACTGAAATTAAAGATTACAGTCAAAGAGAAGACCTAAAAATTTGCCCTCCATGTGTCTTGATATAGGGGAACCATTTATTAATATGTTAAGTTGGATATTTAATGCTCTGTTGCCAAACAGCATGAAATATGTTTTCTCCATGTTGAGAGTGAGTTTGTTGGTCATCATCCAAGTATATATCTTTAGCAGTTCATTGTTTACAGTGTTTCTAAGTACAGCTGGGTCTGAATGAAAGTAGACATATGTAGTGTCATCTGCAAATAGAACTCGTTTGAGTTGGGATATATTGGGGAGATCATTGATGTAGATGAGAAAGAGGAGTGGGCCTAGGACACTACCCTGGGGTACTCTTACAGCTACAGGTTGGATAGCGGAGTTGACTCCATTTGCATATACATAGGGGTGTCTGTCGTTAAGATAGGATTTTAGGTAGTCAAGAGAATGTCCTCTGATGCCGTAATGATTCAGTCTGAGGTACAAGAGATTGTGGTCGACTGTATCAAACGATTTTTGTAGGTCGATGAAGAGCCCCAGGGGATATTCATTCTTATCGAGAGCTGTGCATATTAGCTCAAGCATTTGTATAATAGCCTCATTCGTACTTTTTTTGGTCTAAGCCCAAACTGGCAGGGGTTAATTAAGTACGTTGTTGGATGTAAGGTAGGAGTAAAGACGCTTGTGTATTATTTTTTTGAATATCTTGGAAAGTAAGGGCAAGTTTGATATGGGTCTATAGTTGAGTGGAACAAAAGAATTGGCCCAAAATAGGGCTAAAAGCGGGTGAAATCATAGATGCTAAATATCGCAGAGACCGCTAACTTCGCAAGAGCGTAATTCTACAAGTTTTTCATTAAATTTTGAACTTTGGTTTCATTACTTTTGGTAAAAGATTGTTTCATTTCGTAAGAATTTTTTTTTTTTTAATTCTTCGACACTATGAGCAAGTTTGCAAGCAGGGAAAAAAATTCCTGTGTCTGGGGGAAGATTTTGATTTTTTTTTTTTTTTACTTACAGTTCAATAGAGTTCATTTTTCTGAAACAGATAGTACTAAAATGAGTGGAATGTGATATAAACTTAGGATTTTATGGTGTGTTGAAGTTGGTGAAAAATGATCACTAATTGTCAACAATGGCATTTAAGCACCAATGATGCTTACATTTTACAATTTATTGACCCTAATATATAACTGTTTAACTGTTTTTTTAATTGCATTTAATGTTTAATGCTATATACAGTGGTCCCTCAGTTACCGTCCTTAATCCGTTCCTGGAAGTGTGACTATTATCGAAACAGACAATTTTCGAATCAATTTTCCCCGTAAGAAATAATGTAAATCCAATTAATTCGTTCCAGACACCCAGAAGTATCAACAACAATTTTTTTTTACCTAAAAGATAGATTTACATGCACAAAAGAATGAACATTCAACATGACAGTTACCTTTATTGAAGGCTGTTGTTGATGAATGGAAGACAGGGAAGAGGAGAGTGGGAAGAGAGGTTATTGTTTGGAAGGGGAATCCCCCTCCATAAGGACTCTAGGTCACTTCAGGAGTCACTTCCCTAGCATAAATATAGATTTACATGCAGAAAAGAATGCCAAATAAATGTAAAGCACTAATAAAATGTATAAATGAACATTGGTAATAAGGGTAGTTGATGAGTGGAACAGTCTGCCTAGTAGGGTGATCGAAGCTAAAACATTGGGTAGTTTCAAATTTAGGTTGGATAAATACATGAGTGAGAGGGGTTGGATTTGAGTCGGATTTGCACCTGAGCTTATTGCTTGGGTAGCATTTGTTCTGTTAGTGGGTTGGATTTGTGAAGGACCGGCCTAGTATGGGCCAACAGGCTTATTGCAGTGTTCCTCCTTTCTTATGTTCTTAGTGAAGAATTGGTTGTGTGAGAGGGGGATGGCAAGTTTATTGTTGGAGAATATGACACTAATATCAACTCTACGGTTTATTTATATATCACAATTCAACTAATATGATATAATAAACAATATTAATAACATAGAAACATGGAATATACTCTAGAATGAATAAAATAAATCATTACATATGTCAATAGAGGTGTTGTGTTGTTGTTGGGTATATAAGGGCCACTGAAAGTAAGCCGTCCATAATGATGGTGAAGCAGCAGCTGAGGCGGCTGTGTTTTCTGTAGCCCTATATAACTCCAAGAACATTGGAGGAGTTGGTAGAATCGCTGAATCACTAAAGAAGGCACCCTTTACCACCTTCTATCGCTATTACAATTGCTACCACCATCACTACCACCTTCTACCACTATTACAATTGCTACCACCATTACTACCACCCTCTACAATCATCAACCACTGTTAAAACTCCTTCCACTCTACCACCACCACCTTTGTTTTTTTCTACAAACTTTTTCATAAATTATGTGTGTCTCACATTCTTTACCAAAGGGCTGGCACTAGAAGCTTTCTTTGGAGCCATGGTAGCTTATTTAGCACTTGCAAGCACTAAAATCAATGGAATATTATGAAATATTTCGTAGGAACAAGTGAGGGGACCGTCGCTCGCTGGTAAACAATGGCACACTGGCTGGGAAGGCAGGCCCAGGCAGCTCAGAGCATGAGTACGCATCCCGGACGAAGGACGATTAGCGAGTTAATGGATCACTTGCGAGCCAATGTTTAGACGAAATAACGGGACTATTTCCGAAATGGACGACTTTCAGGCTGGATGATTATTAAGGAACCTCTGTACATATACAGGTCAGCCATCACTAATCCAGCAATCAGTAATCCAGTTCCATCAGTAATCCGGCACTAATTTTGGTTAGCGTAATTTAAAATTTCCCGTTTCACCTCACCATCCTACTGCTACTTGCTGCATAAACCCTGTTGGTGTTGCTTGCAAAAATAGGCTAGCCATTCCAATTTGTTTTTCTGCATTTATTGTTATAACCTGCTCACTTTAACCCCAGTCATGGTTCCATTGAATAAAGGAAATGTTTTTCATTGTGTAAAGCACAAACACCATACTTTGTCCATAAAAGATAAGGTTGAACTTCTGAAAAAACTTGACAGCGGCGATTTCTTCAGAAGCTTGTGTAAATTATACAGCACTGGCTCTTCCACAGTTTATGTCATAAAGAAACAAAGAAAAATTACTTGGTTTCTTTGCTAACAGTGATTCAGAGAAACAGATGTGTAAGAGGAAAAATGAAGAAAGGAAAAGTTCGGAAGTAGATCAAATTCTGATGAAGTGGTTTAGGCTGTACACAGTTGAAGGTGTTGAATTGTAAATTTCAGCTCTTCACTTTTGGAAGCGGCAGTAATGAACTTTCTTGTGTAAGTCAAATTGGTAAAGTTTATTAACCCTTTCAGTGTCAGTCCCATTGTATCACAACTTTGAAGCCACTCTCGGTCCTATAGAATGACACCATGAGCTCAGCTCGCTCAGATAAGCTGCGACCGGTAAATTTGGGCCTAGATATGAGAGAAAATGCCCATGTGGTAAGTGTGCATTATATAAAAAAATCCTGCAACACTTAGTGTATAATGAGAAACTGCGACCATGTTTTTGGTGTAAAACGGTAACTTTGTGGTGTATTTTTGTATGGTTTTTATGGTTGTTTTCTCATTTTTTTTATCTTATTTGATAGGATGGAAGATAATTACAGAAATAGAGATGATTCTGATTGGTTTCAGAACAGAAAATACCTTGAAATTGAGCTTAAAGTACTGGAAATGTTCGATTTTTGCTGATGTTTAAGGGTAAACAAATGACATCATGTGTCTAATACGTGTCCAGCTGGCTGGTCTAATATGTGGTCATGAATGGGTTGACATTATACGTACAATTATTACAGTAATGCAGTAGTCTGCATAACAACAAATCTTCTATATTTTGTGTGAATGAAAATTCAAAATGGAAAGCAAGTGTAATATAAGAGGGGCCTGGAGATATGACTAATGAACAAAAAAAATTTTATTTTAGTGCCAGGAATGTCTGCATTGTTTATTCTGGACCCTATTTTGAAATTGGCATCTTTTGAAATTTGTGTGAAATTTGCAGAATTGCCAATTTCTGACCACTTTATTGGGTAGTTGAAATTGGTAAATGGGCAGTTTCTTGTACTCGGTCAATAGAACAAATGGAGTTCTAGTGAAATAGCTATGAGTTTGAACTTTGGCAAAAATCGAACATTTCTATACTTTGAGCTCAATTTCAAGGTACTTTTCATTGTGAAACCAGTGAAAATCATCTCAATTTCTGTAACATGTCTTCCATTCTATTAAATGAGACCAGGAAAACTAGAATAAAACCATAAATACCATACGAAAATGCACTGCAAAGTCGTTTTAAACCAAAAACATGGTCAAGTTTTTTTCTCATTATGCAGTGTGTGATGCAGGATTTTTTTTATACTGTGCACACTGACCACATAGACCCATTCTTTCATATGTAGGCCTTCCAGCTTTCTCTCGCTAGATTTGAAG